AGAAAAAATGAACTCTATCCCAGCCAAAACCAGCACAGTATCTTAAGTCAGAATTACACGTCTAGCACATCTAGCGCAGGAAATGTTTCCCAGAAGTCCAAACATACAAAACAACATAAAGAGCATCTTTCACCCAGCCAAAAACCAATGGTGACTTTTGTGACAAACTCACTTTTTTCCTGGGAACCTAAATGAGTTCCTGATTTGCCACTTACATATGATTTGTCAGGAGGAACTTCCCACTAACAATTTCAGTTCACGTTCTTCTATCCCAGCCAAAACCAGCACAGTATCTTAAGTCAGAATTACATGTCTAGAGCACATCTAGCAGGAAATGTTTCCTAGAAGTCCAAACATACAAAACAACATAAAGAGCATCTTTCACCCAGCCAAAAACCAATGGTGACTTTTGTGACAAACTCACTTTTTTCCTGGGAACCTAAATGAGTTCCTGATTTGCCACTTACATATGATTTGTCAGGAGGAATTTCCCACTAACAATTTCAGTTCACGTTCTATATATTATACATTGGCCAAGCGTGATTAAAAGCTTTCAGCTGCAGCTTCCCTGTATAAAAGATGTCCCATTTACTGAAGTATTGAGATTCTAGTTTTTTACAGAAAGTGAAAGTTCCTAACATGCCCAGTGGACCAAACGCAAATAAGATACTCCCTTTAAGGAGCGCTGGCAGCTATGAAAGTTATGAAAAGCAATTTGCCTTATCATTCGCTCGCTGTAGCCATTTACTTGGGCATTCCAGGTACTTGTTCATATCTACTGAAAGGGCAGGAGCAGATCTATACATCTCAATGAGTTCTTATGGAAATTATCAGTATCTCTATTTTAATAATTTTATCTCTCATTTTTAACGTACAAAATTTCAGTCAACAGTCTGCTTGCTTGTTCCCATGCTACAAGCTTCTGGCAGCACATACTCAGTTTAATGACAGGCTTGGTTCTGTTCCAGCAGATTATTAAAAAAAATGTTCTGATAAAAAAATCAGATGCGTTTAAATAGCTACATAGTCCAATCAGACAATTTGAGGGTTTTGGCTGTTTTTTCCTCTTACAGACCCTTATCAGGCCAATATACACATACACACAGACAGTATTCAAAGGAGAGTTTAGCAATGTGTTTGTGCTTAAGTTTCATGATCTGCCAAACATGTTACAGTAGGTGCATTATTGTTGCTCTGTGTTTCCATAGCCAGGTTTATTCAAGAGACCAAGTAGCTTAGCTTAACACTAGTCACATAAGGTATGCATTGATTATTTCTTTTAAATATGACTACTTAGACTACTTTTTGATTATTTCTTTTAAATATGACTACTTAGACTACTTTAACAAGGATGCATATATACTTTAATACTTGTCAACAATTTACTGTAAAAGCAGCAAGGTGGCTGATAAACTGCCAATTATCCTTCTTCCATGTGCTAAATTATTGCTACATATTTTTGGAGATCCTAACAACAGTGCTGGAGAAAGGACATCAAATGATGCTTAGAAATGTGATACACATTTTCATTTCACACTCCATCAGTTTTTACAACTAGAGCTCCATGAAATGTATGAGAATACTTGGCTAACAGCCATATCTACTGAGGTGTAAAATAAGGATCAGATCTCTTTTTAAGAGTTTCATTTTCTTTATATGAGTAAATCAGATGTTGACCTTTTTCCAAAATATATTGTAAATATTCCGTACCTCTACCCATCAACTAATTTTGAACCTCTGAACCCAATTTTGACCTGTTTTAACAGACATGTAATCAATACACGTTTTTTAGAACGGCTTTGTAAAGCAAAATAAACAGATTCATCCTTCCACTAAGCTGGAACTGAAATACATTGATCGGTGTTAAATCTTTTCAATTCTAACAAGTTCTTTCCTCATCTTGCACCCTGGGACAAGAAACAAGCATATTATTGCCTTTACAGTCAGCAAAGTAAAGCTATGGGCATCAGCAAAAACATCTTTTAAATTCAGATTTCAATCTGTCAGGAAAGATTAAAGCTTCATGCATACATAAAAGGGGAACTATAAAATGATAACAGATACATAGCGTGGAATCATTATGCTTGAACAGCTGCTGTTTCACCAGTGTAGTAAAGCAGAAAATGTCTTTTACTCACCTCTGTTAAACCAGAAACTTCTCCTTTTGCTAACGGTCTGGTGATGGATGCAGTGTAAACTCTGGCATCTGACACTGGTTGCCCCTTCATAAAATGTTTCCCAGCTTCATAAATATTCACTTCTACCATCTTACCCATTAACGGGGGATCCTTTGGCACAAGAACCTTTCAAATAAAGATAAAGACATAGTTACTAAATACCACGAAGGACATCAGTGTCTCCAGCTTTCACTCAGAAAACAGATTTTTGATAAACATCAGAGCAAATCCTAAAACTTTAAAATTTTAGTCACCAGCATACACTATAGCCCTGACACACTTGACAAGTAACATCTTCAGCTTGCATTCTTCAAGAGCTTTGCAGTGTTTAGAGAAAAATGTTTTTGAGTCTGTAAACGCTTCAGCACAGAAATTATGCCCTTGTTTCTGTTTGCACAAGCCCTTATTTTGATTGCGCAGGTCCTTTGCAGCTGAGATGCATGATTGACAATGAATGCCTGTAAAAATGGATGAGCGTGTTTCTTGGGTCAGCAACTAATGCCACCCTTTCCTGAAATTGCAAAACCATGATATCAGACAGTCCCATAAGAACTTCACAAAAAAGATACCACATAACAGATGTTCCTAGGTCATGCACGTTATAAAAGAAAGAGTCCAATGTATAGGAGCAACGTTTTTTGCTGGAAGAACAAATGGCACAAAAAGGCTCAAAAAATAGAGAAGCAGTTAAAAAAGAAAAGCAGAGTCATTTCCCGATGAAACAATGAAAAACTGAATCACAGGAACTTATTTAATCACATTTACTTGAAGCTCATCCACACACAAATGCAAGCTTTTCAAAGGTGATGAGCACATACATGTGTCTTGATTTTTGGATGCTGAAATTGAAATGCCTTAAAATGGCTTGATTTTTAGACAACATGTGCAGAGGATTTTCAGAGGAAAACTCTGAGCCAGCCACATCTGGAGAGCACTTTGTTGCCAAACAGTGCCTCTCCGTTTTTACCTATCGCAAGTGTTGGTTGTCCCACTTGGAGGAAATCATCTCCAGTAGTCTCCCTTTTTCCCTGAAGGCTCAAGGTGTTCATGACTGTAGGAGTTTCCAGATCCTAGGATTCTGCTGAGCTTCCTAAGCATCTTCCAAGAAAAGCAGGCATCTTTGCCTTTCAGAGATGGGCAAGCTCAGACTAATTGGAACTAAGTGGCAAACACAAAGCCAAGATCCTAATGCTGAGACAGTATTACAATGCGACTAGATCACAGTTCTTCCCACATAATTCATCTCGGGCAAATTTAAATCAAAGGAAAATTAGGTAACTAAGTATCACTGGGCCTGTGACATCTGTAAATCTTGGTATCTCCATATGCAAAATGGCAGTAACTAAATATAAATCCTCAGGGACAGACATGGGCAAGTGACTACTACTTCAGAAAAAGAAAGAGGTTAAGTGAAAATATCTGGGAGGTACCGTAAACAACCAAGCAGCCAGGCTTGGTGTACACTCATACCTTTTTCTGATATAAGTATTTGTTAGGATAAAATCCCCAACCATATTTCTAAGAAACAAAGTTACACCAACAGAAACCCTCATCTTGACTGTTGTTCTGGCAAAGTACCCTTTGGTCAGTTTAGACTATGTTCAATGAACTACCTTAAACTCCATCACCAAAGCCTCCACAAATGTAAGCTGCAGTTCTACCAGAAGTCTGCCAGTGTAGCTCTATCGATGCGGCCTTAATAGCAAACTCTTTTAATATAGATGAGCTTAGTGAAGAGAGAATAGGTTTGATAACTATTTGAATTAACAGAACATTACACCAGGACTCTGAGCTTCAGCTTCCAAAGTATAATACGGTATTTAGTGACTCAAGAGTGGCTTTCAATTTACTATCATTAAATTTACTGCTATTAAAGTTAGTCACTAGCACCAAGTCTTGTGCTTACCTGGGCGAACAGTAGGATATTACCCTTGTCAAACGTGCCATACATAAGATTTTAGGGAAAAGACATACATTTTAATAATGGAAAGTATTTCTTCCACAATAAAATTTAAATTACTCCCTATATTATTATTTTTATTTTGTGTATTCTTTACCAGTCCCAGTCAGGAGCTGTATTAGGTGCTGTACAAACACCCCATAAAACATCAACACCTTTTTTTTGCACATACTGCTTTTCCTTTAATTAATGAAACTTTCATAAAACAAGCACTGAACACTAAAAAGCCCCAAGCAATTTCTTTTTAATCTCTATATGGAAAACCATTCTCCTCAAATCTGACTGATAAGCTACAAAAGCAAGGAACAGCGATATAGGAGACTTAGACAGAGGTTAGAGATGTAACAAAAAAAAAAAACAAACCAGAAACTGAGGAAAAAATAATTAGTGAACCAGATATCTAATAGAAACAGATATTTCAAGAGCAGTAATGTTACTCACTACTAAGCAAAAATAAATAAATAAATGCTGTAACATAACCGGGAACCAGAAGAAAGCACTATTGGTGACTATATAAGCACAGCCGTCATCAATAGCCTCTCCAGGTTCAGACAACTGAATAACTAAAGGTAGCAAAAGCAAACTGTAGACAGCTCAGTGCAGCAAAATGGAGAACAAGCCAAAGGCAAAACCAGAATGAAATCATGATGATTCAGAAAAGCCAATTTTATGGGTTTTCAGCAAGCCACCTGCTTTTGAGCAAAAATAATAATTTTGTGAAATAGATGCTGTACTTCCTTCCTAGCCCAAAGATAATGTTTCTGTGTGGAAAGAATTCATTTATAGAAAGTACATAGAAGGAAATAAAACATATCAGGCTGAAGTATTAATCTAAAGACGTTTCTGACCCTTCCTATTGTTTGAAAATTTTTTTTTTGCAAATTGCATTGCTTGAAAGAATTTTCTGAAAGATGTATGGAAATTATCAAGATTCAACTATTCAGAAAACAATGCTTTGGAGACACAGAAATTAAAATTACTGCAATAATTAACAGCTTCTTAAGCCATTCAAATAATGTTATTTGGATATATATCATGTATCCTTGTCGTGCTGTATACTCAAAGAGCCACTGTGTATTTCTTCACATAATTTCAGGTAAATTGTATTTACAACACAGAAACAAAATATCTCATAAACAAGACTTGATGGTCACACCTTTGTTGGAAAATGTTCTTATTCCTTTACTTGCTTTTTGCACTGTGGCATACTGTGTTCCTGAGATTATCAGAAAGCAAAGATAAAACAAAAAGATGTTATTTTGTTTATTTAACCGTACCTGCTCATAGAAAGGATTGTGAGCAACATAGTAATTGGAATCAAAGGATTCTTCTGTAACCAGAACCCTCTGCCTCTCACCAACCTGGAAAATAAAAGAAGACAAGAGAGAGGACTCAGAAAACAAAAATAATGAGTTACACTCAGAAGAGAGCTGCAACTACAACAAACATTCTTAGTAGAAATAAGCAAATTCTCTGAGGAAATTCTGTGTCAGCAAGAAAGCGGGGCAGAGAAAGCCTTAATTCAAACTGTCTAAAACTTACAGGGTTAAAAGTCAGAATTAAGGGCTAGAACTGTGGTACTGCAATGGCTTAAACATGAAAATGCAGTTCAGAAATATAAACTGATTTTTACTTATTAACACAATAACAAATAATGTAGATGTGCACATAATCTGTTATGACTTCATCCAACTAATGAAAAAACTCCCCTTCAGCATAAAATTCTCCAATCAATCAATCACAAAAAGGGTAACACCTCCCCCCCCAACAGCCCTATGACAAATAAAACAATTAGCAGCATCTGAGAGAAGCAGGGAACTGTAGCACACTGCACAACTTCTAGATGCCATCAAGCTCATCTATTTGCCACCTTTTTTTTAAAAGCCACACTTGTTATTTACAATGATAAGGCATCTCTTTATCCCTTCTTGGTGATTTCACTAAGCGGTACTCATGAAATCACATTGATTTCCATGACAGTGGAGTCAACACTGCATATTACAAAGACTCCGTGAAGAAGAGTTTTTAACAACTTACAGACACAGTGATATTAAAGGCCAAATAAACACTGGGCTAAAAAGCCCAGTGTATCAATTATACCTCCCAACTTCCAAATGCACTTACACAATTTAAAGGAAGCACCAGTTTTACAATTAGTTAAATGGAAGATCCCGAGACAACTCAGTTGCATTTAGTTGCCAAGTAGGTATGAAACAAAATCTGACCTTCCCCAAAGTTCAAAATCGCCCACACAACACCTTTTGATTTTGTCCATTACTGAGTTGTGTAATGAAGTTTATAGCCTAATTTCTACAAACCTTGGAGGCCATTTAGCTCACATTTTTAGTCTGAGCCCATCTCTATTTTTTTTCCATCTAAATGTGCCCTGGATTCTTTCCAAACTATTTGACCAATGCATTCTACAAATTACAACTGTCTATCAAGTTAAATTTACTCGCTGCTTTTATTGCTGCCACTATTTTGAGAATCAAAAATGGTTTCACATTTTGCTCCAAACTTTTAATATCTGTGAGCAAAGCTGCATTCAAGACCCTCTCCCCTCCCTGAAAGACTTCCACCACATCCTAGTGGCAACTGTTATGCAGAAGTTTTAAGGCCTTCATCATAAGGTCCATGTGAATTAGCAAGAAGATGCAGATCAGATAATAATATTCTGATTCTTTAAGGTACAAGCAGTAAAAGAGAAGATTAGGATTTTCTCTAACAGTCAATGGCAGAAAAAAGAACGTGAAGAAATAAGAACAGCAATATCACATCTACATTACAGTGTGTGTATATATATACACACTGTATATATGCGCATATATACACACACACACACACTACATATATAATTCTCCACTCGCCAAACAGAAAGACTTCATGGAATAACTCTTGCCTTCCCTTCCCTGCGCACGTACCTGGAGTATTCCCAAAGTAAACCCTGGAGAGCAGGGGAGACAGCGAGCACCCAGCTCATCTCCCCAAAGGCAGTTAAGAGTTAATTCCCCAGGACCACAAGTGTGGGGTACACAGCAGATGGGGCACAAGCCCCAAGTTACAGACCCAGTAACAGAATCCTAATAGTAGAAAAGGTATATTTTTGCATTCTTTTAAGAGGTGTTTAAGAATTGTTTATAGCACATTTAAAATTTCTGTTCATGTTTCTCTGGGAAATCTGCAATTACAAATAACAACAGATACAACATACTCAAATTTTAGTAACCTAAATCCAGTGTAACCGTTTACCATTCCCCTAAACAGTAAGGTGTTTTTTTCTTTCAAGAAAGAGCTATTCAATTCAAATCCCCAGAGGAGTTTTGCAAATACATGTCAAGGTGGCACTGGAGATAACTACACCAGTAATAAGATTACAGGGAACACTTCCCCTGAACGGAGAGGTTTTGTTGTTTCTATAATATTTGAGACCATAGCTTTTAAAATCACAACCCAGTATCTGCTGTAGCACTACAGTACCAAAGTCTCAGATGTCACACAATATTATGAAAAAGAGGAGGACGAAATGTTAGATAAGCAACACTCACCCTTGGGGAAACATGCTACCACTGAAAAGCACCCAGGCCACTCACCAAGTCATGTCCTCGCATTGTATTCATTATTTACCAATGCTGTAACAGCAAAACCGTCCCAAAGCAATACTGGGTCTGTAACTCATTTCACAATTGTCTTGTGGTTCCCTGGTTCTCTCTGGTCATAACGTTCTGCCTTCATCGTCTCTATGAATCCTGCCTGTGAGGTAGTCTAAGCTACATGTGTTATCTTCACACTCTCAGATGACAGACTGGCAAGCATGATATGCAAAAAAAAAAAAAAAAAAAAAGCAGAGGGAAGAAAAGAACACCTATGTTTGATCATTTGACATAAGCAGTGGTTTCTTCAGAGACACATTGCCAGTTTTTCTTATCTTTGCTTCCATGAGCAAGAAGAGCTCAGGTATACACATCTCAGTGGGCCAGACAGAGCTTCTGGGTTCAGAATTTCTTGGGAATGGGAGGAAATCAGGAAGACTAAGTCCATCACATAGCATCAAAACTGTGGCATTAAAATTGAGTACCAGAAGTGCAGAGGAGCTGAGCAGCCTATACCAATTTACAATACGTACATACACACACTCACACCACTAAGATGGCATACTGTAAGGAGTAGAGGTAAACCCAGTAATTGTTCACTTGCTCAAGTTACTGGATTTTGTAGCCTTGGCCAAGGCTGAGCTCACAGAGAAAGACGATATTCAGCTATTTGCAGACTCTTTTGCCATAACAACAGAAAAGGAAAATTCCATTTAATGAGTTAGGCCATTGGGTATTCATGATCTAAAAGACTAATTGGCTACATGCATTTGTAAGACAGAAAATGACTATCTATCCTGCATCCAAGTATAATTAAGAAATGTAAGTATGGAGAATGCAGCTTTGGTATTGAACTTTGTTCAAGAAGTGGAATATGTCATCATTTCTGCAATTATTCCCCTGGGATCTCTAAGTGCCTAAGTTTAACCTCTCTCAGAAAGAATTTAAATATGCAGAAACCAGACACGATATCTAATAACAGTCATAATTATAATAACCTTTGATGATTTTTTTCAGGCATGTACCAGCAGAAGTAATTCAGTATCTTATTTTTATTCCTATTCTTTCATCTGCTTCCACAGGTATGCACGAGTTCCAGCTCTCAGGGAGCTACAATTCTGACAAAGCATCTGGAACTGAGGAAACAGCCCTGGCATCTTGGTTTGGAAAGATTCCTGTAGAACCAGGATTTTTTTTCTTTACAGAGGATAGCATGAAAATAATAATGAATGATAGCAAAAAACTTGCCTGGCAACCTCTCCTATCCCAAGATGGACTGGTCACATCATTTACACAAGGAGAATTTGTTTTCACTGAAAATAACGCAACAAGCGCTGCTGGTCCTATCACTTCCTACACTGCAACAGCTGCCAGGTAGTTTGTAAATCTCAGAATTAGTAATCAAATCATGTATGAACTTTTATTTCATTTTCATTTATCCTACAGGGAATTCTGACATGATAATTCTATAACCCAGTTTTTCCTTTACCAAATACCATAAAAAGCAGTTTTTCCAGCTGGCTGATTTTCTAAAATGAATGAACGGTAAGAAATGTCAAACATCCTTCTTGGCTGCAAATTAGGTTTGTTTTTTAAACCAAAACTGACTGAATCACATAAAACACAAGACTGATTTTTAAATTCTACAATTGTATGGGTGCAAAAGACAGGCCCTGTTTACATGCTTTGATAGAATATTGCTACGTAACCTCAACAACGGCTTGCTGTAATTATACTCAGATAACGTATGCTCCTAATCTTTTTTTTTAGTTAATGAAAACTGTAATTGTTCCAGTTTGATTCATTATTTATTACAGCCAGAGCATGTGGCACATGTTCTTTCTCACCATTTCCTATTGTTCTTTTATCTGAATTTTGCTAGTTTTGTTTTTAAGAGTCTCTGTTTGGCTAAAAAAAAAAAAAAAGCCACTGTATTTCTATACTTCTCCCATAGAAGAAGGCACACTGCACATACAGCCATCTCCACTGATTTAAAGACAGTTGCCAAAGCCTCCTATCAGGTTGAGTTCAATTCATAGTGGAATCGATGAGCATTTCTCCATTTGTGTTGAAGGAGGCTGGCTTGGATTCTGACCTCAAACATTGTGGAGCATACTCAGTACAAGGCTTGGAAGCCACGCAAAAAGCTACTTTCCTTTATTTGTTATTTAAATACATCATAAAGCAGGCAATAAAAAATACACACCATCACAATTTATGTGTGTATGTTTTAGCAGATTAGTCTGATGTACAGAGTATTTCTAGTAAACATGCATAATTTGACCTTTACTAAGTATAACAAAGTTTAAGCAAAAGTAATTTAGAAAGTGTTCATTCTACATTAGTTTTGGTATACTTCTCTCCTAATTTTTTAGGATTGTGGTCTAATTATTTAAAATAAATATTAATAATTATGCAGATGGTGTCCTTCCCTGTAAAGCAGAGAAGTACCGCTGGACTTCTCTTGGATTTTTATGAATCACATTAATCCCTCTGTAATGATAGTTAAGCATTCTCTAAGCCTTCTATTTATACATTGTAGGTGTTTTCTCCTCCTGACAGGCAAGCCTAGGTGTGCCACAACCCCCCTGTAAAAAAGACAAAGTCTGTAGAAACTTATGACATGGTCCCATTTTGATGATACCAGAACACATCTCTCTCCAAACTCTCCTTTGTACTGCTTTTTTCTGCTATTCAGCACTGCTCCTCCAACATTTAGGGTGTATACGTATGATCTCCCTTTCTGAAGGTAGTACTGGAGACAAAGAATG